TCGAGTTGAAAGTGGGTGACAAAAAGTGCGAATACACAGACACACACACACACACACACACACACACACACAAGCAGCCTCTTCCCAATATGCGTTTTTGCAATTTACATATATGCAAAAACGCATAAAAAATTCAGATTTGAATTAAATCTGAAGAGGATTATGAAATTTGCAAAATGCAGTCGCTTTTCAGTTTGCGATAAAACTGAGTACTTGTCATGTTCGTATGTACGGAATTTCACCTCCAAACTGTATTAAGGTCACACATGACTATAGAATGTCCTTGCAAAGTTTTAGCCTCGTAACTTGCCTCGTATGCGAATAGCTACTTCGCTACAAATATCTTTGAAGTGTCCTAAGCCGTGGTGCAAATGCAATTCGGGAATCAGTTTAGGTATACGATTTCCAAATGAGCAATAAATATTCTGACAATATTTCAGCTACTGTTTTCTCACTATTTTTCGAGTTAGCACAGTATCAACTGTGAAATTTACCGTGACTGTATGTGCTGTGTAAGCGTGAGTGATAGCTGAATTTGAAACCATTAACTCACAAGTGCACAGAAAATATCCCTGCAGTTTCAGCTTTTTATCTTGTCTAGATCACGAAATCGTTTTCGCCAAAGAAATTTGCACATTTTTTCGGGGGCCTGTGCGCGAGATTTAGGCGCGTATGAGCGAAGATTTTAAAACAGAAGGGTGACGCATGTGGTGGAAATTTGTCTTTCCTGATTACTGAGTTGAAAGAGGGTGACAAAGTTCACTCGTTTCCATAAACACACACACAACCTCTCGACAATATGTGTCTTTGCTCACTGCAACAAAAACGCATAAAAAGCAATCTTCTAATCTCCACTTCGGTTTTAAATGCTACTTTAGAGCAAGAACTTCTGTCTTGTTTCAATGTGAAGTACTAGGGCAACTGTAGGTCTGAATGGTGAGATATTCTACAGCCGAATGTGCCGACAAAATCATCGCTGAATGAGTCGACTGCTAAGTGTTATGAATACTTTAGCATAAAGATGATTTCAATCCCTCCGCCCTCTTCCAATCTCCTGGTTACAGATATTCACCGTTTATATCCCATTTCTGCTAAGTTTCACTGGATATTTTCTCCATTTCCTGGATGTGGGTCTATTCTGAATTATTTATGAGCCGTTAACACCGGTGCAATATTCCGTGGCGAGAAGCGGGGGAGTAGGGCATAAATATTAAACATAGTGCAGGCGAAAAGCTAAGCTGTACCCATCAGTCCATGCTTCGAGCTGTTAAGAAAATGGATTAATGCACTGAAATCCGATAAAATTGATGTGTTTTCACTGGCACTGCAAAACAGAAAAAGGTTACAGCATGGGTGTTTGTTTTGTTTGAAAAGAAATCCCCCTCACTTGTCAGAGGGCCTATTGCAAATTTACACTGACCAGCTGGGGTGGAGCCGCTTCTCCAGCACTCTTCTTTCATTTGCATGAAATGGGATTCGAGGCAGTGTTTCTTTCCTACTTGCAAGCCTTTAGCATATTGTTGCGGGTGCGAGTGCAGGATTCGAATGAAATGATATTCGGTTGTGGCACCCCTTATTTTTCGTGATTTTCCTCCGATTGGTCAACGTCTCAGTTCTCCTTCTTACGCGCAGTTTATAGCTGTGAAGGATGTCTTAACAGTTCATTGCACATATTCGTGTTGCTTCAGATGACTTTAGCTCATTTTTACTGAATTTTCAGTTCTTTTAATGATTTTGGTATCTGCTAGGACACTCTTCCTGTATTTACTACTAAAAGATGGGATGGAACATCAAAGCTAGTGACGCCTTTAATAACGATTCACAATATGCTCACGGCATAAGCTATTTTGTGCCAGACTGACTGAGTTAATAACCTTCTTGTGTTTGGTTTACTCATGATGGGCAATCGAACGGTGTCCAGAGTTGTTTGCTGATAGCTAAATTTTTACGCATTTTAGAAAAAACACTCCACACGTGTTCTTTGAATGTTCACCTTCCACAGGCGTTTTAGACAATTTAAAAGACTTTTGTAAAGGTAAAAAATTTGAGCTGATGAAGAGCAAAAATCAAAACAACTTCCTGGCTTAATTGAAGCTAGCGTTCTTCAAAATTTTTTAGCTAAGCGCCTTTCATTACTGTAAAACTAACATTGAAATATTGCTTTGGATTCATGAAATATAAGTTTAGGGCTGTAGATTAAAGCGCCAAAGATTCAGTTTCTCAACTTTCTTCATTTTGGTGTTATAAAATTAGCTGCACCTGAGGATGCTTTCGTTGTAGTCGGAGGAGGTGGAAGCTGATCGTTATTTCGTTTAAGTTAAAGGAAAGCGACAGTGTTTGAGCTGCAAGCTATTCGGGCAAATTCAGACGTACGCACACTCTGACTGTGACGGCTCAGATATCGAACGCATACCGACAGATACGGCCTGATATTTCGTTAGATGATGCTGATACAATTCAGCAATTCGTTTGCATTCGACCAAGTCGTTTCGGAGGGAGGAAAGAGGACAGAATGGAAAGGTGAGGGGGATTTTACTGCCAGTGATCTAGTGGATACGCAAGCAGGACGATCCTCGATCAGATGAATGGATGTAGCAGAGCCTGCCTACTCACGCATGCCGCAGCACTCTCCCCCCTCCCCCTCCCCGGCATGATTTATCAGCAGCAATAACAGCAATTGAGATAACCATTGCTCTTTAAACTGGTTTTCTGATTGCGTCTCCTGCGAGGTGTAACTAGCTTTCCAAGTATGTCCACTTATTTGTCCGGAATTGATATACCGACGAAAAAAGGCCGCAAAGGATGTCGGCCCATGCCACAGAGACAAAGCGATAATACAGCTTTTATGATAGGTATGCCTACAAAAAGTGGGTGAACTAAGACGGTCATCTGGTTGCGGCAAAGCATCGTGGACATTTCGATGTGATTGTTACTGAGGCTCACGATAGGATAAAGTATAGAGGAATTCATGTAGGTCATTGACCGTGCATGGCGCAAAGGAATTAAGTTACAAAATTCCGAGTCAGCAAAATGCCCAGTTCTGCAGAAACAACATTTGTCTAAATTTGTGCTTGTATTCATGAATCAGCAAAGTATGCTTTAAATTTGCAATGCGCATTAACCTAGATTCGCAATGTCTTGAACTGATTCGCCCTTAAATGGAAGTGACATATTTTCAATAAAGTGCATTGGGTTTGCCGCGAAAAGCAAACTAAGAGCTGCTGACTCACATTAGAAACAAAGGTCTGCTCCACAAAGTGGGTTGCACTAAAAAAAACATTGATTTTTTTAGCTCAAAAACATCGAAATCAGACACGCAATGCTGTAAGAAAGAACTAGAGGTGTTATCGCATTACAGCAACGTTTCGAGAGTGCGTCGAGTATTCTCATCCAGGGGCCAGCTGTCATCGTTTCACGGTGTTGTCTTGATTGTCAGCCAGTAGCTGGAGTGCTGCTGATTTGCACCGTTCAGGCTATTTATCATGATAAGCATTCATCCGTCATTCGAGGGCTGCTGTGCCGCTGCTGTACTATTAAAATTGAGGTGTTCCAAAGCACATTGAAAAGGTATCAAAAGTATATCATTGCAGACTTGGTTGTAGCAAAAACGAAGTAGTGGGATTGTGTACCATAATGGGTGTTCTAAACGAAGGTAGCATCGATGAAGGACGTCAGGATCTTGCTCGGAATACAACCGTCGCTGACATTGACGCCATGGAGCGAATTAGAACTATTGGTGAGACAAAGCTGTGTAATGTAAATATTAGATATAAGCGGAACTGCCCAGACATTCGGAGTGAAGATTTGATATTCTTGCGCCACTGGGACACTTGGACGCGCCGAACAAACCTATACCAAATCTATTTAAAGTCCGTTATTGCTTGCCACCTATAGTACTGCTAATAAGGAGCCGGAATAATTGCACTTTTTTTTGCAGCACTCACTGGCAGTGCAATGTTCACATCCAACAGAAGCAAGCCTATCAAATTTCACTTCAGTTTTTTTTTTTGCCCTCGTTCTCTCCATGTACCCAGCGTTTGCTGTTTTACTTTCTAATGGCATCCGTATGTCACTGTTTTCAGAATTACAGTATTTACGAAGTTTGTGAAGTACCTCAGTATTTTTGCTTCGGCGCTGCCAGCATTGCAGTAAAAGTGTGTTAACCGGTCATCGCTTAATATGCTAGCTGCGGTAGCAGATCTTTGCACATAATTAAATTCATCACTGAACTGAACATGATTTTCATTTCCTTTAAGCTAAACTTCTCTTCCGACAACCCAGTTTCCTTCAAATTAATCCGATCTCTTGTGATAGCTTCAAGCTAAATCCGGCCTCCTACTATAAGTTTTTTATGCGTTTTTTGCAGCAATGCAATGCGAAAAACGCATATTGACGAGAGGTTGTCT